ATCCAAGCTAGTCTACTCAGTCTTCCTCTCTCCTAGGACCCTCAGCTATGCTCCTGAACAAGAAAAATCCTATAAGGAAGAAAACAGATTTGGTTCAGAAACTACTCCCTTACTGCAGTCAGCTTTGTCTTTGTCAGGATCATGGTGTATGTGAGAGAGGTGGATGAGACAGGTAGATAGGTGATTAGATAGGTGCATAGCTAGGTAGATAAAATTCCTTAGCAGGATGTAGGTAGTTCTGAGGGCAGGGACTCAGGGACGGATCTGGATGTACATTCTATGGGAGGATTTCTTGTTCACAGGACATGGTACTGGCAGTCTTTGGTCTTACATCTCCATCAATATTAGAATGGGAACAACAAAGAAAACTACTAAATTGGACCAAATAAGAGCTATAAAGGAGATGTTTCTAAAGCATTGTGATTCCTTACAACGTTAATCAAACTAGGTTCCCTCCTAAGTTCCACACCATACAGACCATTTTCCTCCCAAGTTTCACACTGCAAGATTTGAAGAGGCAGATTGGAGAGTTTTAGTTTAGGTGATTAAATAGAAGGGAGAGGCTGTCTGAGTTTCGGTTAGTCTAGGAGACTTGGGAAATATCACTCAGTACTCCCATTGCTTCCTGTAAATACAAAGGAGTCCACTGGCTTCCAAAAAGAGAAACTCCATACAAGCTATCCCACCAAAATGTATCAAGGCCCTAGCTTTGTATGTGCCAAGCATTATATAAAGCTCTGGGGAATGCAGTGAGTGAATAGAGAGCAGTCACTCAGAGAATCTAGTCTGGTAGAGGAGGCAGCGAAGTCACCAGCTATCCTCTCCCAGGGAGAAGTGCCATGATGTCTGCCACTTACCAGCTGTGGGACCTAGGGCAAGCCACTTAACTTCTTCTTTTAGCACCTGTAAGTAGGGATAATACGTAGTGCCCCTCTCCTTAGACTGATGTGAGGATCAAATAAATGAATGTACTAAAGTTCTTAGATCGATGTAAGATTTGTAGAAAGAGTTTATGAGCCAGGCACGTGGTTCACACCTGTAATCTCAACACTTTGGGAGGCCAAGGCAGGCAGATCACTTGAGCCCAGACCAGCCCAGGCAACATGGCAATATTCCATCTCTACTAAATATACAAAAAATTAGGTGGTAGCTCACACCTGTAGTTCCAACCACTAAGGAGGCTGAGATGGGAAGATCACTTGCGCCTGGGAGGTCAAGGCTGCAGTGAGCTGAGATTGCACTATTGCACTCCAGACTGGGTGACGGAGTGAGATCCTTCCCTAAAAAAGAGTTTGTGCTTGTTGGTAGAGATATTATTATCGTAGTGGTTATTACTGGACGAAAGCTTCCCTAACCATATGCTTTCCTGACCAGAAAGCCCTCTTAGAGGAGGTTACTCACTTTGAGTACCAACAAAGCAGGAGCTGGTCAAATGGCTGAGGGGGTGAGAGAAGGGGAAGGGAAAGGAGAGAGAATGAGGGGAGGGGATAGAATATAGGGATGGGACACAGAGACACAGAGGTGTGGCGGAACACAGAAGGTATGAGAGCAGAAATTGGTGGAATTCAATCATGAAAGGGATTTGGAAGAGGAGAATCTGGAAGAGAGAGTTAAGGACAGTTCATAAGGGATAAAAATCATAAAAGGTCTGAAGTATTATGCAGGCCAGACACGGTGGCTCATACCTGTAATCCCAGCACTTTGGGAGGCTGTGGCTGGTAGATCACTTGAGGTCAGAAGTTCAAGACAGCCTGGTCAATATGGTGAAACCCCGTCTCTACTAAAAATAGAAAAATTAGTCAGGCATGGTGGTGCATGCCTATAATTCCAGCAACTCGGGAGGCTGAGGCAGGCGAATCACTTGAACCCGGCAGGTGGAGGTTGCAATGAGTCAAAATCATACCACTGCACTCCAGCCTGGGTGACAGAGCTAGACTGTCTGAAAAATAAAAAATTAAAATTTAATAAAGTATCATGCAAAAGAATTTGGATTTTTAACAACTAATTTATAGAAATCTTTTCCAGAAATTTGTGAAGTCCTTATTACTATGTACTGGCAAGGTTTAGCTAAACAAGGAAACAGAAAAATGTGCTGAATGGTCAGTTTCTGATATTAAGAATGGAGAACGAAGTGGAAGGTCCCATAGGGACCTAGATCTGGCTGTAGGTCCACGGAGTTGTGTTGACTGTGACTGATTTCCCATAGCTTCTTTTCTCAGAACCTGAAGTTTCTCAGCTCCCCTCCATCCACGCAGCATAATAACAGCCTACATTCCTAATGGCATCAAGGCTGTGGTAGAGTCTCCTACAATTCTCCCTAAGCCCATTTGTCCTTACAGTCAGAGCCCTGACATTTGGTTCTGGTATCCACACTCTCTAGCCAGCCTGGAACTCAAGGGGCAAATCCTGATTAGCTTAAACCGTTCACATAATTCTATCCCCTTTCCTACTGATTGGCTGAGGTATCGATGGGCACTTGTGGCAATTCTGGCCAGAGACATAAGGGAAACCAGAAGACCTTTGGGAAAGGCTTCCTCTCTCTGAAAAAGGAACACACAAGATGACATGGACTCTTCTTCCTCTGTGTGTCATGTTGGTGTGTGATACCAGGAATTGTGTACCTTCTAGAGCCATCTAACATAATATCTTACATAGTACAGTAAGGTAAGTGTTTGTTCCATTGAAAGTTGAAGATTTATAACAACTTCCTATGACATATGTAGGGTGGTTGCTATCCTTTAGTAGATTAGGAAGCCAAAAGAAATGAATTGGCATATTTAAGGCCTAAAGAATGTGAAGGAATAAACCTAGGTCTCATGAATATGTGTGTTTCTGCAATACCAGGATGTTTCTCCTAAATCTTACCAAATACACACCAAAAAATATCAGGCACAACTTCATAAAGGTTTGCCTTTGTGCCCAGACAACAAAGCAAGGTATGAAGGTGAACTAAACTGTTACATTAGATTAAAATGCCTTTTTGCATTTTTATCACAATATATAAACCACTTGAAGCTGAGCTAAAAATATATACATGAAAAGATGGATGATCATGTTTTTTTAATATGAAAGATTCCCTCAAGTCTGAGTGACATAGCTACTCCAACAGTAAATAACCAATAACAGAGCTTCCCAGCCAGCATGTCCAAAGGGGTGAGGGCTTTGGGGATGCAGCTGTTGTCTCACTCTTTGCGGGGCCTTCTCAGGTCACCCCAGTGTACATACACATACCACCACTATTTACACGTGCCAAGACGTGAAATTCATGTGGGAAACACACACTTGTCTTGTCTCTCCCCATCTCTCGTACTGCTCTTTCACAAACTCTCCATTTCAGTGAACTGACCTGTTCAATGTTCCCCACTTGCCTTCTGGCTTGAGGACCTGCCCCTGTGATTTCTCTTGCCTTGAAACCCGGACCTTCCCCTACATATTTGAAACAAAATTTTAAAATCCCACCCAAAGTGAACTCCCCCAATAAACTTACATAATGAAAGTTACATCATACAGTTAAACCACTCGGACTGCATATGCTAACACACTGCACATGTTATTCTGTCCTCTGCATGTTTTGTCTCTCCAAGTAGATCATAAATCATCTCTTTGAAGGCCATTGCAAAGAGTTTTCCTCATAACAAATAATTCACTTCTCATGTCTATTTATCAATACTTCCTACTGTGTTCATATTTTCTAAACTGTTCTTTCTTGTCATTACTGTGATAATTGATGTGATATAAAAGGTGAGAGCCTTTGATTGTGTTTTTTCCCCAACCAAAATGCATTGTATGTCTACAGATTCACAGAAGGGAAAAATAATAAATATATTCTTAAAACAGGATATTAATGAGGACTGAGGGTCTTCTAATTATTCTGGAGATGGAGATATGAAATATTCTTACTCGTAAAGGATGCTCTGCCTGAAGGAAGTATCCACAGAGGAAGGAAATCTTTGCCATTACTTCTTCCTGGGAATATTTACTACAGATAGTCAAATTTTAGCAGCTATATTAAGATTTGGGGAAGAGCAGGGTACTTTTAATCTCAAACCACCAATAAACCTGACGTATTTGCAAGTTTGTCATAGAACAGAAAATCCTTTGCATAATCAAACTTAGATGAACTGTTCCTTCATGTTCCTTCAGAATCAGGAAGGGCCAAGAGGCTGAGTCTGTCATTTCTGGAGAGAGAGAGAGAGAGAGAGAGAGAGAGAGAGAGAGAGAGAGAGAGAGAG